CGCATGCGCAATTTTTTTAAAATTCATCTGCATTGTTGTCTGCGGTTTGGGGAACTTTTTACTAAGTGTGGTGTCACACTATGCGTTTTTACCGCTCCTGCTAAAACGCTCCTGTTTGACGGGATGATAATATCACACGTTATTAAATGGTACTAGTCACATATATGCGTTTTCGCCGCACCAACCAGATGCAACCGCATCCTGCTGCCGCTGCGCAGGATGACATGACAACCCCAATGACATGAAACCACGTGTTGTTGCACGTTGGTTGTCATCAGTTGTCACACTGAGCGTTGCAACCGGGTGTCTTGTTAGGTTTACAATGTTTGATGTCGGTTTATTCATCGAGTGCGTGCATGCAAAAACTGCACTGTGGGAAAAACAATCTAAAGAGTATGTAGATAAAAGCTGTAGGGAGAAATCATGGGTAGAAATTGAATTTTTGGACATTCGGTAATATACAAAAAAATTTTTCTTGTTCATTCGAATTTTTTCATAAAACTTCGCGAACCTATTATTAGATTCTCGTCCTGAATTAAAAGGATCAATCTAATATTGACAATATATCTGCTTTCGCAATAGCCTCTCCGCCTCAAGCGCACAAACCATCTTTAACAATAATTGAGACATGACATTACTTAGACTGCCAAAATATAGCAAAAACGCATCCCGTTAAACCGGAATAGTGTGACAAGTAGATCTCATCCTGTCAAACCGCATCCGTTTTAGCGGGAGCGGTAAAAACGCATAGTGTGACACCACACTTACTCAGAAAACCGGACATTCATCTGTTCTTTGTAAAAGAATTCTAAAAGAAACCCTTTTTTGGAGGTTTGGGCACTTTTTGGGCTGTAACTTTTTGTCTCGTTAGTCTATGTAGCCCAAAAAGAATAGGGACCTTTCTTATATCCTGAAGAACATGTGTATCCAATTTCAAAGGGATCGGACGTTTCTACACAGTTATCGTGCGCACGGACAGACAGACGAACAGCAACACAAAATTATAGACAATCTCTAGGATCGTCAATAATTAATTAGAGTGTAACAAAGCACCCGTTGTCGTATATGTCAGCTTTTATGCACACCCGGTACATGCATGGAATCGAACCGGCGAAATTTGTAGCCGCCGATAAGGAAACCAAGATGCTGTATCTAATTATTCAGTTTTCTAATTGTTCCCTTAAGAACCATTTTAATTATTCTTGCCGCCTCCGAAAGCTCCCGTCATTTGGAAGACGAGGGAAAATTAATATTTTGTGATTACCGTTCCGTATATTAATTATTAGAAGATTTTAGTTTTCCAATACCAATTTAAAACCAGAATCACAACTAGCAAGGTGCTAACTGGACTACCGAATTTTGGAATTTCAATCCGGTCAATTAAGTAAGCATAATTACTGGTAGCGAAATCAGTCATGTGTTTGGTGCCAAATGAAGCGCGCTTAAAAACATGAATTTTAAGCCGTTTTCTAGATTTTTGGGCTGAGAGGAAACCGAGCAAATAATTAAAGAAGTTTTAATTTTTGAACATTATCACCCGAGTTAGCCATGCTGTTTGGGAAACCCATCGTTCCCTTTCCGAAATTGCATAATTTTATTAAAGGGAAGAACGTCATTTAGAGGGGATACTTTTGCTTCGTGTGCAGTTAGGCTTTGTCAAGTTTCTTTATTTATCTAACCGTACCGTATAATTTCAAGATAGGTGTTTGACACTTTTTATTACCGTTCTTAAAAAGGAGTCTATTTCTTGGTTTCGGTATTCGGGCTCGGCGAGTACATAGGTAAAAAGTATAAATTGTGGGCAACTCTTGAACAGATAAAGTGCATTTGACATTTTGACATCACCAATGGATATATTTCTTGCAGACGTCCCAATCGCCCTTTATGAGTACCCCCTTTCGACAATCCGTTCTTGAGGTATAAGGGAATATACCCGATCACGATAAGAGGTCGAGGAGGAGGGATATGGTTGGTAGAAATTAATACCTTTCGTTGAGATCTTTCAACCTTCAAACTAGTTCCCCCCCCCCCCCCCCTCCTCACCGTACTTTGATAAGAGGACAGAAAGAAGGGCAGTAGTTGGTAGAGAACGGTTCATTTCGTTGAGACCTTTAATTAGAATACAATAAGCGATAAAATTAATTTTTAACCCCCCCCCCCCCTCAGGCCCCGTCGCTCACTGATCTCGAAAAAGAATCGCACGAGAAAGTTGTAGATTGTACAAACCAATTTATTTCGATGAGACCTTTCATTAGAATACCATGAAGGGTAGAACATGTATTTAACCCCCCCCCCCCCATTTTCTAAAATTTAACTTGGCACCACTAAAGGCATGCGCATGTAAAATGGTATTAGACCCTATTAGTGTGACGTCAAATTTGAGCGGGAAATTCGAAATGCTGGACTTGGCTGTTTTACTGTCGAAGATATTGACCCCTATCGCCCCATACATTAAGTATCACTTTTAAATAGGTGCTCTTTACGGGCTTATACTGACCTTATGCGCATTAAATAAGCATATCGGCCCTCTTATCTGAGACCAATTGGTTGTCGTATGTAAAAGTTATGCACGTTTTACTATCAAAATCAGCATCTCAGGAAATAATTCGTGGGGGGGGGGCCTTTTAGATAGCGAAATTTGATGGCCCTCTGCCACACCTTCAAGATGTAGGCTACCTACTGGAAAAAATTCCAGGACTCTAGGACCATTCCCCTAGAAGTACTTCGCAACGGCAGAAGTGGATCCGGACGGACAGACAAAACGCAAACAATAGCACATTTTTTTTAATTCTTAAAAAATGCGCTAAAAATAATGGGTAAACAATTTCGAATTTAAACATTTGCCAGTATAGGAAATTTTATACATGTACCACTACATAGTGAAAAAGAACGGAACTAAATTGCAAGAGAATGAAGCGCTTTCCGTAAAGCAGCGAGTGTACAGGGTGGCCAACTAAGAATGCGAGGTACTGTATCTGAGAATAACAAAACTTCAATGTAGCCGCAGAATAACTCTTTTCAATTAACCCGAGTTTTTTAAAATCGGCTCAGCCGTTTTGAAAGATACAGGGTGTTCTTTACGGAAACCTTTGAATACCCCCCACCAATTCACAAAAAAAGGTTAAGATTATCGTCGTCTTCAAAGATCGGACATTTTTTTGTTAGGTTAATATACCGGAATTCACAGAAAAATCACTTTTTTAGATTCCGGATTGCCCCCTAGCGGCCATTGCAGAAACTTAAAAATATTTTCCAGGTTTTTCTCGTGGCCGTTTTAGTAATAAATTTTTTTACCGCAGGCCTCTACGATGGACAGGTTCACAGATACAGTACCTCGCATTCTTATTTGGACACCCTGTACAATCAGAGAAGACTCAAAACGCCACAGTGTTGCCGGTTCTCAAGACCGCTCTGATGGAGCATAAGGAACGGTTTTTCTGCTATACCTTTGCATGTTTAAAAAAACAGGGTCAAAACTTGTTTTGCGTTGGGGCGTTTCAGTATTGGGTTGGGGATCGGCGAGTACGTAATTCGAGCGCATTTTAGAACGCGTAATATCAGATTCTTCGATGAACTTTCGAAGCGGATCTATGCAACTCAAGCGCGGCATTTTAAGAGCGCGTAACATTTTACGCTGAAAGTTTCAAGACGTATTCGTATAATCGAGGTACACGGAAGATTTAAACAGCCGTGTAATCGTACGTGACATTTTGCTTGCGGAAGTTGAAGTAATTGCCGAATAAAAAGGGAAAACTGTGCCACCATTTGCATAACACGAAAAGGACCTTGAATTTAAAAAAAAACACGCAATTCCAAAATGCTAAAACCTATTAAAATAGTGTATTTGTGCGAAAAAGTGGTACTTCATTGCGTAGTGAAAGAAGTAATCGGACGCATTATTGGTTTACGGTGTTCGCGCTTAAATAGATTGTTACTACCAAAGCGTTGGGGTCCAAGGTGCAAAACATTCCGTTGCGCCAGATACACAGTGGCGTAAAAAAACAATTTAGTAAACAAAGTTGTGCATCCAATTTATTTATATGAAGTGCGAACGATATTTTGAACAAGATGACTACCGGTAAAAAGGTTAAAGATAAGTAATTCAAGTTTTTGTTTGTTGTTAAAACCTTAAGTTACAAGGGAACATTGTTTCATATTTACAAAATGCGAAACATCGGTAATTTATTACTGTAAATAACTCAATGTACCTCGTAGGGTATCGGTAACAGTTGGGGTCTTATGTCACGTTCCCTACTTTGACATATGTAGCGCTACTAAAAATGGCCGACTGCTCCGTAAAGAGCGTAAAAGAAGCGACGTAATTATAAGATGTTTCGGTAACTGTGCCACAACATTTGTGTCTTATGAACGCGCCCATTGTATCGATAAAAGTAAGTTTTTTTTGTAAAACCATTTTTGCTAGAAGTCAATTGTATATTCCCGAAGAGGTCGAACCATTATACTTTTCAAATTAAACCTAAACAAGGAAAATCTACAGAAAGTGTTTAATAGCATTACTTTAGCTTTTTTCAACTTACTAATTTTTTTCTCCGCAACAGACTTGATGGCCGGTACAACATCAGGTTCGGCATGCTGCACCTTTGCCGGCTCAGGTTTAGATAATACGGATTGCTTCTTGGCATTGTCCCTCTTTTCGAAACCCATTTCAATGAGAATTTCGGACGCCTTCTGTATGTTGTTATCGTTGCCGCTTAGTATGTCCAAAATCATGGTCTCCTCAGCCTTCGGAAATATGAACTTCATGTACCTGTCGAAAAAACAATGTCAATAATCACACTTTCTTTAACGGGCGCGAGTACAATCATGCAGTCGCTATTGTCAAGCAGGGACGACTCCAATTCAACCATGCACGGTAACTGACAGAAAGTGAGGTGCACGTAACTTTAGCAAAACTTGATTCTCCGCACCTCAATAAAAATTCCGAGACAATCAAGCATACCAAAACTCTACTGTGCAGTCTCCTTCTACGTCATTATCACTGACAATACTGGTGACTCTAATATAACAATTAAAAACCTTAATTTCAATTTAGGCGAGTGAGGTTTGGGTGAGTTCCGATAAGTCTCGTTGCTACCGCCAGAGCCCGATCTTAAAATCGGACTCCCGCCCCTAGAGCAGAACCTTAGACCTAGAGGCGGAGTCATTTGCAAATGGGCATAGTTATTTGTTTGAATATTGCGGACGGGAGGTGGTGTGGTAAAAGGTCCCGGAGTCGTTATCGGATGCTTTTCCACTTGCAAAGCGCTTATCACCAAAGCTTCCCGATTGTGGTACCTAAAAATGTTAAGAAAAATGCGTAGCGAACGAAGTGTTAGCATAAGCTTAGTTACGCGACTGTAATAAGTGTTAGTGTCATTTACAGCGTCAAGAGATGCATGCAAGTGCAGATTAGTGTCGATAAAGAAGACGTGTTATCGATGATATAAAAATTGCTACACAGATTTTGTTAACTCACTTCTTGAGAAGTAATCGAATGTGAGTATCGGACACCGTCGGAAACATGGTACTGATTTTAGTCACTGCTTCCTCGGTGTTTGCGGCCGCGCTCAAGGTCGTATCTTGGAGTCTGCTAGTGCGCGGACTACCACGAGTTACGTGGCTTAGATCCTATAAGAAATTGCCATAGTAAGCAAATAGGAGCCGAAGTATATCATGCAAGCATCTTCACTAACAACTGCACTGCACTAATAGCCTACTTTTATTTAAGAGAGTTGCTAGGATACGCAATTACATGTGACAGAACACAATTTATTCATCAGAACTTTGTACTTCACATGCAGACTAACAGAAACATGCACTAGTTAGACCACTTTGTCTTAACTATAGCACAAGTTCTTGTGGTGGTTCAATTTATGATCTTCAACAATCATTACATCATAGCTAACACATTAGTCATCAAACTGATTAACAACAAGATACCAAAGCTCACCTCAGGTGGCGTGCATATGAATTTAAAAGTTCACATTTTAGCTTTTAAAAAACTACATGGCGCATCCTGGATTTCCTGCAATGCCCACCCTGAATACTTTTCCAATATGTTGTCTAACCGCAAGATTAAAGTATATTTAACGGTTCAGACGTAACAGAGTATCAAAGAATGAAACGCTATTTTTATATTGCATTTTAAAAGTTATAAAACTCCATTAAAGCAGGTAATTGGCAATACAGCGATTAATGAGAGACCTACCTACCTACTTCCGAGGGTGTATCCACTTTCGAAATGCAGAAAGCCCAAAGTCACGTGTAAATGTAGCTACGTTTGTTTCCGAGATACAGGGTGAAAACCAAAAGTTTGAATTTTTGGGATGTTTTCATTTACTACCCATGTAAGATAGAAACAAGTAAAAAGGTTTTCGCCCTAAGGCGATTAACTTCAGCGCATTTTTCATGAATGATCAGTACTTCCCAATAGACCATAGCTATATATAGAGAGAGAGAGATTTTCTAAGAATATTTTCTCTCGCAGGTGTGCCTCCATTTATTGGATTTATCCCTAAATAAAAAAGTTGTCATTTTGCAGTCTGCGCATGCGTGGATTTGATTTTTGCTACATGTGATTTGTTTTTCTTTACTAGAAGCATATATGGTATAAATTTCAAAGAAATATCTTGATAAACAAAGAAGTTGGCACTGACTGCGCATGCGCACATCTAATTTTTGCAATATCATTCCTTTAACAGAAGCATCTGTGATTAAAATTTCAAAAAGATATCTCGATAAATAACAGTTGATATCGCGCATCCTGCGCATGCGCACATTAATCTGATGTTTACAATATGCGATACGTTTGCTTAAACTAAAGGCAACTTTGGTTAACATTTCAAAGAAATATCTCCATAAATAAGAAAGTTGCCATTGCGCATGCGTACATCTGATTTTTGCACCAGAAACATCTGTAGTTAAAATTTCAACAAAATATATTAATAAATAAAGAAGTTGACATTGCGCAGTCTGCGCATGCGCAGTTTAATCGGCAAGATTTTCCTTGGTTCAGGTGCTAGAGCTATACGCTACCGAATGCAAAAAGAACGAACTTAATACCTTGAAAACTGTAGTAGTTAAGGCCTCGGACAGACGAACGGTCAGAGAAAGTGGCTGCAATAGCCCACCCAACTTCGTTGCAAATTGCGCAAAGGTAAAAACTGCCTATTTTAGATATTTTTACGTAGAATTCAGAAGTCATTTCTAAAATTGGATTCAAATTTGGAATTTTTTAATGCAACACCCTGTATATCTTAAGGTCAATTTTTTTACATTCAAAAAGTATAGGATGTGATATATCAATACAAGCGAGTAAAAAAATGCAAAAAATTGACGTTAAGATATACTGTGTGTTTTAATTAAAAAATACCAACTTTGGGTCAAATCTCAGAAACTATAGTGCAAAAATTTTTTGACTGTCGCGGGATTCTACGTACAAATATCAAAAATAGGCATTTTTTACCTTTTTCTATTTTACATGGGTAGTAAAGTGTGATACCATACGAAAAAGTCAAGCTTTTGGTCTTCACCCTGTATTTCAGAAACAAACGCGGCTAGATTGATTTTGTTTGTGTTATTAAGTTCCAAAATTTAACAAAATCCGTTGAACCGTTTTCTCGGAAAATTGTCTACGTACCGGGTGACCCAATAAAACTGTTACTCAGCCATATCTCGAGAACCGTTCGTCATATGACTTAGGGGTAAAAAAAAATTATTGGGTAAATCGGTCATGAAGAATATCTGGAAAATTGACCAACAGAGGGCGTAACTGCAATCTTAAATTTTAAAATTGGATTTTCTTTAAATTTCGCATAATTATTTTTTCGCATTTTTAAAGAGAACCAGTTTATCTATCATTTTCGTAAAAACAAAAACTCAGTTATTTCAAAAACAAAGATGGTGTGGGGCGTTCAATTGGTTTTGCAATAACCTGTTTTAACTTCTTAACCGTTTGACCGATTTTAACAAATTTGGTATGGTTGAAAAGAGCATTCCTTGGGCAATGAGAATCAAAAATATAGTTAATTTAGTTGAATTCTTCTCCGCCAGGGGGCTAGTTTTGACACTAGGATCCAAAATCCTAAAAAAATCAAATAGAATGATATGACTTTTTCTTTATGAAAAAGTAGCCAAATAACATCCAAAGAGGCCAGTGAAAACCGTTTTTAAAATCTCGTTCCTAACCTCAAATATTGGGAAAATGAGATTAATTAATTATTTAATAAAAATGCTTAATTTGTATCTTACTTACTTTTTACATATTTCCGATATTTGTCGATGGCGCGAAAGAAAAGCACCCTACACTTTTAGGTAGGCGTTGGAAAATTAAACAAATGAAACACGATGCATTATAAAATAATAACAGTCGTAATTTGTAAATTATTCTGCTGTGTTTACATTCAGAAAGTGCAGTTTTTTGAATTTGTAATCTTTTCTAAAATGCCGATTTCTAACCAAGAAGCATTATGGCTGTTATTATTATATAATGCATCGTGTTTCATTTGTTTAATTTTCCAAGGCATACCTAAAAGTGTAGGTAGGGTCCTTTTTCAAACAAACTTTCGCGCCATCGACAAATACCGGAAATACGTTAAATAAGATACAATTTAAGCATTTTTATTAATTAATTAATGAACTAAATCTGATTTTCCCAATATATGAGGTTAGGAACGATATTTTGAAAAACGGTTTTCACTGGCCTCGTTGGGTGTCATTTGGCTACTTTTTCATAAAGAAAAAGTGATATCATTCCATTTGATTTTTTTAGGATGTTGGATCATAGTGTCAAAACTAGCCCCCTGGCGGAGAAGGATTCAACTAAATTGCCCAAGGAATACTCTTTTCAACGATACCAAATTTGTTACAATCGGTCAAACGGTTAAGAAGTTAAAGAAGGTTATTGCAAAAACAATTGAACACCATCTTTGTTTTTGAAATAACTGAGTTTTTGTTTTTACTAAAATGATAGGTCCTCTTTAAAAATGTGAAAAAAGAATGTTTAGTTTATTTATTATGCGAAATTTAAAGAAAATGCACTTTTAAAATTTAAGATGACAGTTACGCTCTCTGGTGTCATTTTTAGAACATGAAACTATTTTCCTAAGTCATACGACGAACGGTTCCCGATATATGGCCGAGGAACAATCTTATTGGGTCACCCGGTACATATGTTGCTTAAAATGATCCAAATTCCGAATTTTTGACATATCCAAAAAACGGTGATCCCAATATATGTATTCTACAGGGCGTTCTAAATTGCTTGTTTTCGATGTTTTTTGGGTATATTTTGAGAACTAAAAGAGACAAGAGTGATGCGGAGTTACTTCCAAAGCTGCCTAGATTGACGATGTCAATTTTGACGTATGACTAGCGCGAACGTGGCAACGGCGCAAAAGTCCAAAAATGTAATAAAACGTTTCTGCTTTATAACTCAGGTATATTAGTGAGAGTATCAAAAAAGTAGAAAAAATAAACCTTATATAAAAATAGTTTCTTAATAAAGGGGTATTTTTATAGTTTCCATAGCATGCTTTGTTTTTAAGATACAGCATCAAAGTTATGGTTTATTCAAATGGAATGTAGCATAATATTTTTGCGCCAATAAATTCCGTTTTTTTTAACTAAAAAATCAGTATGTTTGATAAGAACAAATTTGAGATAAAGCATTGAGCAAATTCTATTAAAATACTGTTATTTTGGGCATTTCCTGAAGTATGAACTATATGTTTGCCGGCCTGTGTGGCGCAGTTTAGTTGAAGCTGGTTGGGTTGGTAGAGCAGCCTTGGCTGAAACCCCGCCGACTCAAAAATAAAGGTTAAATAAATAAATATTTCACGACCTACCGGTATTTAATCCTCATTTTCAAGACAGTTTTCCCTATTTATCTCAATTTTTTTTATTCAAATGTAATGTAGTGGATTTTACCTAAGGTGATAACGGTCTTCGCCGTACACCTCACTATGAGATGACAACTGTTTATAGTAACATGCTTGTTTTACTTCTCTGGCCCCGTGTGAATACAACATCGAACATACTCATTGTGATTACTAAAAGGTGTTTTTTTTTTTCGAGGCGGAGAACTTTAGATTGGCAACACTGTTTTTTATGACAGCTAATTTGAATGTCAACGAAATTTTGTATCTGGGGTATTTTTGAAAATTAAAAAATTTTCAACTATTTAGCATAACAAAAAAATCTTTTCTATTTATAATAATCAGCCCACTTAATTAGTGTATAACATCAACATGATTTCATTATATGTTCCTTATCTTTAAATTACAGGTATAATTAAAAAATACTATAAGAAACGCGTGTATAATTGGTCTTTAAAGCACTTGCAACGTTTAAAGGCACTCCGCTGCGCGTCGTGCCCTTAAACTCGTTGCGCGTGCTTTAAAGACTTGATTATACACTTGTTTCTTAATATACTATAAGAGTATGCCGCCACTGCCTTTGATCTAAATTTGACTTGTGCACTTTTTGGCGGGTGCATCATTTTGTGGTAAAAATTTAGGAAAGCTTTTTACAAAATCAAAAATCTAGATAAGCCGCAAGTTAACCTATCTGTTATGGTTCCTAGAATAAATTTAGCTCTTCCAAACAATTCATTGCGAAGAAATGCTTGCTTTGGTCCCCTCTATCACCAAATTTTTTGTTGATATACAGGTGTTTAAAGTGGGCGTGGTTTAGCGAGCCGAGGTAGTGAGGTTACGGAAGGGGTTTCACTTTACTTCTTTTACTGTGTTTAGAAATAAAAAAAAAGAAGAAAAGAGATTTTCTCAACAATTTTAAAGTTTGATTTAATTGTCCCAGTTCGAGAAATAAATAATTGTTTAAACTAATACTTAATCCAAAGAATTTTAAGTATATGACATGCAATACAATTTTTTCATAAATGCTCAATAAATTTTTTTTACAAAAATCTAAGCAAAGGATAATTTGTTTGCGAAACAGGCCAAAATTTATAACGCTAATCAAAATCGCTATTGAAATTGGTAATGCACTGATTTTCGTGATATAACTTCTTGAAAATTGACCACTAGCGCCACCTGGCGGCGAAACCTTTAAACCGAGATATCTGGAGAACGGGGCGATCGAAGGGGCGACGTAGAAAGGTGCTTAAGTGTGGCGTAGGAACGGTCTCGACCTAACCTAACCAGTGGTCATGGAACAGAAAAGGTATTTGAAAATCCAAGAATAGGTACATTTTTTTATAGATTTTTACGATATCATTTCATTTAAAATCTTCCATTTTGGAGGACTTCCTTCGCCCCCTAGCGATGATGTAGAAAACTCTTAGAGCATTCTTATTGGACCACCCTCAGTAGGTTTTTGCACAACTTTCTTAGGTGTTCACTGTGTTCATTCGAGTATTGTTTATAGTTTTAGTAGCAATTAAAATGTAAAATAACAATTACAATGTAAGCTTTTCTCCTATCTCAAGCAAATTCCTTGTAAATCATACGCTGCACATATATACTACACACTATGACGACACTGGACTATCTAGAGAACATGCAAATGGATGAACATCTTTCATCACTATACCTGCAGTTGGGGTACAAATTTTGGACTACAATGTGGCGGTATTTGAAAAGCAGGTATGGGAGTAGTCTGACTGGGATACACATAGTTCCTTCGAAATTCTGGCGAACCATGCTGATTTATCGAACACAATAATCCAAAGCAGCATGTGTAGAGAGGTGGAAATGAATTTAAAATCAGTTGGTAACCGAACAATCAGCCAACTGGTACATTTAAAGTTAAAAGCGGATTAGATTGACCGGGAACCTAAATAACATATTTGTTTACTACATGCACGTCGAGTGAATAAATTGAAATGCCTTTAACTTCAAATTATCGGTTTCAATGTTGTAAATCTAAACATATTACCTGCATCACGATATGTTCAACAGGTACAATGGGTGCGGGATGTCTTGGTTTATGTTGAAGTCTCGGATCATCCCAAGTTGTTGTCTTTGTAAGGTGGTTGACGTAGTAACTGCAATTTGCGATTAAAGGTAACGGTAAGGAAACAAATATGTGATATTTACTATCTTCCAGACTTCCTGTCGCACTGGCAATCCCATCCGGGAGGTAGAGGATTTTGAAGCTCCGCCATTGTTCAAGTTTCGTTTCAATAAAAAAGTTCCTTACATTTGTCGAATCTTTGTGTATTTTGGAAAGTATTTAGATTTTCAATACTTATTGATTTGATTTGTGTCTATAAATGTCATGTGAAGTACTCAATCAAAATTCAGGGATACCACCTGAATAAAATTTACAATCTACCAACTGTAAAGTTAGTTGTAATTGTAATTCGTCCATAGTCGTCCCCATGGTATATTTCATAGGGAAAGTGGTTTGTCGAAAATTGATGTAAATTTTGCACATATTAAATCAAAAATTTGAATAAAAACAAAACCTAAAAAAAGTATTGTAGTCTCGTAGCGTGATTACTGCATCTTTTATTTACCACCCCATGCAGAGGAAAAAGTAATAAATGAGTAATTTTTTTGCTATAATCTTTCAGAAATATTCATTTTCCAAGTCGACTTTCTATGAATTTTAGTGATATATTTTTTCACTATGCCTCTTGGTAAAATCAAAATGCTTTACTATTATTTTCCTTATTTTTGCCAGCTCTCCAGGCTCATTCAGAAGTTATAAATTTTTCAATGGATCTAAACCAAGTTGGTTTTGTATGAGTTTCAGAGACTTTTTTTCTAGTTTTGCCTCTGCACCTCTTAATAAGCACAATCAAAGTAGCCTAATTTTTTCAGTTTTTCCAGCAAAGGCGGACTGGCTACTTATAGGTCAGGTGGTATCGTGATGATAGGGATCTTTTGTACCTCACCACAAGAAATTAAAAAATTTCCTTTTAAATCGAATGTTAAAATGAACAATTAATTAATACATGACATAAAAAGTAGTGGGTAATAATTTATAATCCTAAGAAACTATGTTTTAAAAGATGTCATTTGAAGTTGCATTTAACCATTGAATAAAATGCTTATTCAATGATTTAACATTTGTCACATAATCACGATTAGCACATTTAAAATCAATTAGAAACTCTATGTCTTAAAAGATGTCGTTTGAAGCCAAGTTTATTATTTGTCCCATAATCACAAGTAGCACAATTAAAATCCTTAGAAACTGTATGTTTTACACGGTGTTTTTTAAGATCGAATTTAAAATTTGTCTCATAGTTACAGTTAGGACATTTAAAATCTTTAGAAACTTTATGTTTTAAAAGATGTCGTTTGAACTGGTATTTATCATTTGTACCATAATCACAAACAGTACATTTAAAATCCTTCGACACTTTATGCATTAAAATATGTCGTTTGTAATCCCATTTAACATTTGTGCCATAATCACAATCAGCACATTTAAAATCTTTAGAAACTTTGTGTTTTAAAATGTGTCGTTTGAAGTCGCTATTAAGATTTGTTCCATAATCACAATCAGCACATTTAAAATCCTTCGAAACTTTATGTGTTAAAAGATGTCGATTGAAAAAGTGTTTTTTATTTGTCCCATAATCACAATCATCACATTTAAAGTCCTTTGAAACCTTATGTTTTAAAAGATGTTGGTTAAAGGTGAATTTGTTGTTTGTCCCATAATCACATTCAGCACATTTAAAATTTTTAGAAACTGTATGTTTTAAAAGGTGCTGTTTAAGATAGCTGTTATATTTCGTCCCAAAATTACAATAAGTACATTTAAAATCTTTAGAAGCTTTATGTTTTATAAGATGTCGTTTGAAGTCACTTTTATGATTTGTCCCATAATTACAAGTAGCACATTTATGCTCCTTTGAAACCTTATGTGTTAAAACATGTTGTTTAATGAGGTATTTACGATTTGTCCCATAATCACAAATAGCGCATTTAAAATCCTTAGAAACTTTATGTTTAAAAAGATGTCGTTTGAAGTTTGATTTAATATTTGTCTCATAATTGCAATGACATTTCAAATAGTCTGTTTTACACCGAGTTAAAAGGTCAGGTTGAAAGTCAGAATGTTGCTGTAAATCTTCATTATCAAAAGTACATGGTGTACTGATGGTAACTTCGTCCTTTATTTCCACCAAAATTTCGTTGTTCACTGAAATGTGGCCCTGAAGAAAGGAATGGATTTCGTCTTCTTGTTTTGGTTCGATTTTAATAAGTATTGTGTCATTATCTCCATCCATACCTAACAATGTCCCATGTGTTAAAAATCTATTATTGGTGTTAAATAATTACTTTGTTAATTACAGAATTTGTTGAAGAATTATACCACCTCACTAGTAAATTAAACACTCGACGCACTCCATTCGAGAATTGATTGATATAACCTTAAAGAAGGAAGATCATATAGATCTATAGCCCAAAAAAGCCCATCACACAATGAAAAAAATAAGGAATAACAATTTTCAATCTACCTGATCTTTATGGATTTGCACACAGCACTGAAATATGAAATAAGCCTAGGAAATAAGAAATAATAATTTCGTTCACTGGAATTATTCATATTGCGAACCAATGACATTAGAAGAGACGCGCATGCGTAGGTATTCTATATTTGTTATTTTATTGTTTACCTAAAAATAAAAAAGTATGAGTTGTTGTCTTTGTGAAGTTATGAACTTGGAATTACATTTGATGGCGGTGCAATTAGCCTGCTATTACCTTACTTTTAGCTGCCATTATAATATAAATTCAAACGACATGAGTGTTCTGATTGGCTTATAGTCTGTTGCTATTTGTTTGTTGTGTTTTGCGTGTACGACGTTACTATTTCTTATTCCTTATTTTTTTGATTGTGTGATGGGCTTTGTATGTCTATGGTAGGAACTCTGACACAAATTTACGGGTGGCGGTCATTGGTTGCCAAAACTGTGTTGTGTTTACTTTTGAAGGAAAGAGGTTTCAGTTACGGTTTTTTCAGCAGCTGTTTGGTTCGTGATTCTTGGCATTCATCAAATCCTGTTGTCAGAAAGTGTAGTAACTAAGATTTGAATTTTGAAATTACGCGCCTTTAGTTTAAGTTGGTACTTATGTATAGTTGGTAGAATGTATTTTTAAGTTGGCATGCAGGAGGTTGACTATATTCAGTTTGATGGAATTGTGTTGTATTAGTCACATTGTGTGGTTCAGTTCCCCGCATTTTATTTAATAAACATTATTGAATATTGTTATTGATTATTGTATTAGTAAGCAGGACCCCCTACAGCGTCAGAAGTGGGATGAAAGCATGAAAGATTCAAGTTTTGTTACACGATTGGTGAGATAAACTTTGATTATTTGAAGACCACGTTTTTGATCCGATTGACATTGTAATATCCAACATGTCCAACGAGAATCTATCGAATTTGCCTGGGGATTCTGTGTCATTAGAAGGGGGATCGCAAATTACATTGCAAGATGTTATTGAAGCTACCATTCGAGCCGTTACTCAGTCACAGCCATCGCAAGCCGGGTTACAATCAGCTGTTGTATCAAACGAACGAACAAATTTACACAAATTTAAAAACTCGGAAATTGGTACTTTAATACCGAACTTCGGAGGTGGTGATGAGGAGACTGTCGAAAATTGGTTTAACCGCATTGAAATCGTACGCAATACGTACCGTGTTCCAGATGATGTATTGCATGTCATTTCCATAGGTAAATTAACAGGAAATGCTTTGAAGTGGTATTACTCCAAGCCGGAATATGCTGGACTATCGTACGATGCCTTTAAACAAAAATTGCAATCCATGTTCCAAGTGAGGGAGGATAAGATTGCCTTAATGAAAAAGTTTGAATCGCGGATTTGGAGACGAAATGAAAAATTCTCTGAGTATTATCATGCTAAAGTGCTACTGGGAAATAAGTTAAATTTAAGTGATGCTGATATAATTGACTATATTATTGACGGTTTCAATAATCCTATGCTACAATCTCAAGCGCGGTTGCAAGATTTTGAATCATTGTCCGAATTCTACAATAAGATGAACAGAATAACGCAGTGTGACAGGGGTCTTCAACAAGTGAAAGGAACGAGTATCGTTGCAGTTGCAGGAAAAACAAATGTGACTTCGACACCTTCTGTCTCGCGATCCGAAGGTGAGTCATCAACAAAAACTGTACGTTGTTTTAATTGTAGCACATATGGGCATTTATCCATCAATTGCGACAAACCGAAACGGAATAGAGGTTCGTGTTACCGTTGTGGCAGCACAGACCATAAAATAGAAAATTGCACGCAGACTACTCCAGTGAGGCGAGTTACGAAATCAGCTGCGGACAGCACTACTACTGCAATCGTTATGGGTCCAGGGCAACCCATCATGGTTCAGCTGGAATTGAAGTATGGAGAGGATGCAACTCAATCATCATTGTCTTTGGACGCCATGTTAGATACAGGTAGCCCTATTAGTTTTGTAAAAAGTATGTACTTACCTGCTTATTGTTATACAACTGATATTGAATGTGATAATTACTTTGGAATTAACAATTCAAAAGTAACCATTGTAGGAGTATTTACTCAAACCGTGATTGTAAACCAAGAGAAATTGCCCCTTAAGATTTATGTCGTAGGTGATGATACTATGAATGTGCCTGCTATTGTTGGTAGAGATTTTATTACGCTATCTAAAACCCCAATTCGTTTGATTAATAATTTTGAAGGCTCTGCAAAGGAAAGTAAAATGGTAGATGATGCATGTAATGAGATTCTACAAATTGATATAAGTGATAATGTAAGTGAATGTGATTCAAATGTAAAACCTGACATTCCCTGTAACAAACAAACTACTTTACTGTTAGAACCTGATATTATTATTGATGACACCATAGATCATAAGATTAAAGAGGACGTTGTTTCACTGTACAATAATTGTTACAAAAATGCACTCATACCATCTTCTCCTGAGACCGATTATGAGATGCGTATTACTTTGAAAAGTGAGCAACCATTTTATTTTAATCCACGTAGATTGTCTCACGTAGAGAAGGGTGAAGTTAGAAACATTATTGATGATTTATTGAACAAGAATGTGATTCAACCTAGTCACTCTGATTTTTGTAGTCCTATTGTATTAGTAAAGAAAAAATCGGGCGAGATCCGCATGTGTGTAGATTACAGAGAGTTAAATAAGTTAATTGTACGGGATCATTTTCCCTTACCACTGATTGACGATCATTTGGATGCGTTGAGGGACAAACGTTATTTTACTTCGTTAGATCTTAAAAATGGATTTTACCATGTGAAAATTGCCCCAGACTGTGTACGTTATACTTCTTTTGTTACGCCATTTGGCCAATATGAATTTTTACGTATGCCATTTGGTATTTGCACTGCACCTCATGTATTTCAAAGATTTATTAATATAATATTTGCCAATATGTTACGTGAAGGTAAAATTCTGATTTATTTTGATGACTTGCTCATAGCCACTAATGAAATTGAAGAACATCTTCAAATTTTAAAAGAGGTGTTTGACTTGATGGTGAGAAATTTGTTAGAGATTAGATTGGATAAATGTAAGTTCATGCAAAAACAGATAGTATATCTAGGATATTTGGTAGACGGTGAGGGCATTCGTCCGAACCCTGAAAATGTGCAAGCGGTAATTAACTACCCATTGCCGAAAAATTGTCACGAAGTTCACAGATTTGTAGGACTTGTGTCTTACTTTAGAAGATTTGTCAAAGATTTTGCACTTTTGGCTAGACCCTTATATGCACTTATTCAAAAGAATATACAATTCCAATGGGGATCGGTAGAATTACAGGCCTTTGAGAAATTGAAACAGAAGCTTTCTGAATTGCCGCTTTTGTCGATTTATTCTCCCAAGGCAGAAACAGAGCTGCATTGCGATGCAAGTTCATTAGGTTTCGGAGCAATTCTTCTCCAACGCCAGGTTGAAGATAATAAATTTCATCCTGTTTTTTATTATAGCCGACGAACAACTGATACCGAGTCAAGGTACCATAGTTATGAACTCGAAACACTTGCAGTTAAGTATGCTCTAGAAAGATTTCGTGTTTATTTG